CGTTTATTTACGTATGTTCACAAGAGTTGTCTTTCGTTGTTGTTGAAATCTATGATTTCGATAAATATAAATTTCAGACTTCAATTTTGAAAGTCAAAGGTCATTTTAAGCTCGTTACATGTACGTTCCAATGCATTTTAGCGACAACGATAATATGCAAGAGAAAAAAATATGTACTTCTAGGTAAAAAATATTGACGATTTTGAAAACTCTAAGAAAAGAGACCTTGGAACAGAAATGTACTTTGCAGCATACTCGTGTCGTTTGTTACAATTCAAATTGCATGTAAAATACTTTTTACACCATCAGAACTGAAGAACATAATTAGGTGGGACACTCTGTATAGAACATCAGGTGGTAGAGGAGGTCTAAATATGGGCTAGCACTTCTTTTAGAGATTAGAAATATAGCTAAATATATGTTAAGGCATATCCTGTAGCCGGATTTATGGCAGCGAGTCAAGTGGTCGCCGTCGCTGACAAATATCGCTTTCTCAAAACACCACAAGTGTTTATTGCGTTGCCTGCGACACTTAGTCCCTAGGACCAGACCCTGCCATAAATCCTGGAGTCTCCGAACGGAAAATAGAAAAGTGGCCCACGACTTTTGCCAACGTCGATGGGCCGCTTGACTTTAACAAAGCCTAGAAAAGCGGAGATTCCACAGGATTCTCCGGTCGTTGTTTACCCCACCCTAAGATAACGCGCTAAGGGCGAAATGGAGGGAGGTTGCGATGCACCGGAGTAAACTGATTGGTGATTTAGAGAAGGAAAAATCACCAATCAGGGTGTTTTTAGGAAAAATAGGAGTCTTCGTCGAGGGAAACCGCAGAGACTCCAGCAGAAACACTTGGCCACTCGCAAGAGAAACACCTCTCACTTCACAGTAGAATTTATATCTTGAATTAGTTGTAGAAAATAGAACATAAAATAAAAACTTAGTGTTTCAATCAAGAAACTGGTCCTTCGAAGCCTTAGAACATTAATCGGCGCACACGTGCAAAAACCGGCAACGCTTGAACGATCGAAAGATCAACCGCAAGCCCTAACAATATATACAATTGTACCTGAGAATCAGAATACTAACGAGAATGGTTTTAAGGGTGCTCCGCAAGGTGGCGTCCTCAAACCGTTATTATATTATACAGGGTGTCCCGTAACGCTGTGATTGGCCAGTGTTTTTCGTTAATAACTCGAAAACGAAGCTTCAAAATACATTTTGGATAAGGAAAAAGTTGTTCAGGGTCACCCCAGCAACCCCCCATTTCTGGGTGGTCCTAACGTTACGGGACACCCTGTATACATATACTGCTGAAAAACTAAAACGAACTTACCTGAAAAATGTTTTAAAATAGCGAAATAAGAGAAATGATGACACGTTTTGCAACAGAACACGTAAACAAAATAAATGCAGGTCACTGTCTCCTCTGCAACACTTATTTTGTTCATAACTCGTAGTTTCATGCTACTTTCAATAGGGTCAAGCACTTAACATATTCAATACTTCAACTAGCCCATATTTAGACCATCTCCTAATTATCTGAAAAAGGGGGCCTCAACTCCAATTGTGTTGAATTTCGAATATGTTGTAGAGAGTAGGGTCCTGAGTAACATGCACCTTGTCTGAAGCGCAGGACGATCGTGGTTCAGAAGTTGTGACAAAAAGAAAATTGTACTCGTCACATTTTTTTCACCCGCATGAGTGGCTGGGGGACTCCGCCAAAAAATCTGACCTAACCTAACCATACCTTACCATTATTAGGATCGCAATCCTATGCAAACACATATGCAATTTCATTTTTAACCACTTACACCCATCCTCCATTTACGCAGTACTTTTTATACGCGAGTTTTTTTTTACGCGGTAAATTATACCTCTATTTACGCGGTCAGATAGTTTCAGTTTTCTATAAACTTTCATTGAATTTATTACATATCAGAGAGACGCAAATTCTTACTTGAACGTACTAATTACATAACTCTGACCTTTTTTGGTTTTTTTTTTTAACCCCTTGTCCTACGATTTAAGTTTTAGAGTACAGATTCTGACACCGAATGAAACTTATTTTGATTTTCTGCAATATCATTATTTTTTTTATTATCCTATGCGATTTAAATGTTTCTATAACTTATACCTGTTTCTCTTACCATGTTTTTTTTTTCATACAAGCAGACACTATTTACGCGATTTTTCTCCGCTTAAAAAAAAATCAACCCGGAACGGTCAATCTGCGTAAATGGAGGAATGGATTTTGTATATTGAGTTAAGCACTTGGACTCTGAGTCCGCGTACTTCGGAATATTGCTCTTGCTGCCGTCTAAGGTACTAATGTGTAACTGATCGACTAATTTCTATTTATTTGATTTATTTAAATTTGATCTAATGATCGTTTTGGTTTCTGACTCGGATGTTGTTATGACTGTCTTTCCGAATTGTGATTTCGCTTTCTTATGGACTCGTCCCTTCTCCCATTCGTTTCCGTCTTGAGAGAAGACACATGAGGTTCCTAATTTGGAAAATTACCCGCCATCATCCCCTTCCAGTGCGCCCGTAGCGTGAGATGTCCTTGGAGCGGGGGTGACGAGAATGGTTCTTGGCGGAAGAAAACTTTAATAATTGAAAGTTTCTATGTGCCGCATATTGGCTGCAGGCCGGCCTGCTAAAGGTAATAAAACGTTTTAAAAAGCTAAAATTCACGATTTCTGAACGTATCATAGAATCGTCCGTTAGGGATTGGGTTTATGACATGGACGCCTGTTTACGTTATTTTTGAATGCGCCCCTTTTTTCTTCGTGTTAATTAATTTTTCTTTCAAATTGACCACGAAGCCCAGGAAGCGTTTTATGGCTGCAGAAAAATAAATTTTCTGCGGGCCACATACCTTCCCGGTGCCCACTCGTGAACATTCAACAGACATTGACATGTCATAAAAACTTTCGCGTCTCCCTGACCGCCCAAGGTCCCATTACGAGCGGGCTACCCTTGGGCCTCACTCCCCCGCCATCGCGACATATCACCACCCTGCCAACTTGGAAATTCCAGGATGGGCGACATGTTCGCGAGCCAGGGAGGACCGTCCAAGGAGGTAGACCCGTTTCCATTGGCGGAGATCACCACCTTATACCCATACACTTTTTATATAAATAAGCGCACCAACACCAGATCAAAAAGGGAACATAGACAAACACCACATAAACTACCACTCTTCAAAATAAAGTCTTTTTCTTTTAACATAATAAAATACGTGCAACCTCTAAGTCACCACGACTTCATACCAGCAAACAACCCGCACCACAAACCAACGACAATTCATAAAGTCTTTTTCTTTTAACATAATAAAATACGTGCAACCTCTAAGTCACCACGACTTCATATCAGCAAACAACCCGCACCACGAACCAACGACAATCCTGCGCCACCACTCTCGAACATACCGCTTGTTCGAAGCGCACGACGCAACAGTCCCCTTTGCTGCTCCCAACATATTGAGATAAGTGTAATGTAACGTGTACAATTTTCTTTTTGTCATAACTTTTGAACCACGATCGTCAGTTTAATACGAAAATATCTGTAGCATGTAACAGTAACGTTTAACCCTCTTACTCTATATGCGAAGACTGCCAAGGCCGATTTGATATGCACGCTTCTATAAATTGCTTTATAAAGAAGAAAATGTCAATTTTCTGGAAGAAAGTTTTAGTATTTATTCTTTTTAAACTTAGAGGATATGGAATACAATTGTAGTGTAATGAAATATTTAATAAGAAATAATGTAAACTTTTATATTTAGATTATATAAATTATGCGTGGAAAATTATTTTCTATAGCAACATCTCTTACATTAGTCACTGATATTGTTTTTGAAACTAAAAGCAAATTTTTCAATCTTGCGGAATAATATTTTCAAGATTACATTTGTGCTGTGGGAAGCATACACCGTGAAGGCCTTTCTCGCACTTTGAATGTAAACGCACGGTCCGTGGCAGTTCTCGCATATAGATAGATCGGCCCGCTGGCAGCCAAAGGGTTAAGAAATGAAAGAGGCATATTACCCTATTTAGGTTTATTTCTTAAGAAAATAGATGTCAAACCTTGGACGAACATGTAATAATGTATTGATCACGTTGAAATATTATTTGCCGATTAGTTATGCTCCCTTGATTCGTAGTATCTATCAAATATTCTGTATGTGTTGCAAAATAATATGTATTTCCAGCTGGTGTGTTGGTAATAGTTCCGAATTATACCGGAGATTGTCTCAACTTTGGAATAGCAATTGAAAAAGCGAAACAAGCAGGTGTGAAGGTAAGATGAGAAGAAAATTTTAAGAGTCAAATATTTTAACTAATTCTGATACCTTATACGTTTTTATAGTCAGTTTTGAATATTAAAATTTGACTAAATCTTCGATATTCCGATTGATATTTTCGGTCAGAGAACTTTGAAAATTCATGTTGCACTTTGTGCCTCACTCTGTTTTACGTTTAGGTGATGGAAATAATTGTAAACGAAGACTGTAGTATACCGGAAGAGGAGCTTGGTGTTGCTGGCAAGCGTGGCTTACCTGGAATTTTATTTGTTTCAAAAATAGCTGGTGCACTAGCGGAAAAAGGGCTACCACTTGAGGAGGTCCATAAGACTGCACAAGATGTTCTGCAAAATTTAGCCACTTATTCGGTTGGGTTGACTGCTTGTGCAATACCTGGTTAGTATTAAGACATTGCATAGACTAGTCAGGTACGAATGGAGAAAAATATATAGTAGGATAAACAGTGGCGCGTTGTCCTATGGGCAAAAGGGGCAATTGCCCGGGGCCTCCGCCAACAAGGGGGGCCCCAAACCAATCTTTTATAACCTCATTGCTGTAGTAGGAACGTCGAAAGTTAAAAATTGCGGTAATTATTTGCCAAAATTTTTCGCCATTTAAAAGTTGTTCAAAATATCGATCTCCCCTCCCCCAAAAAAAGTTCCCCCCGAAGAAAAATGTTTGACTCCAACACTGTACATGGGGCCCCCAATTCAAATTTTCCCGGGGCCTTATGAAGCTATAACGCGCCATTGAGGATATAGTGGACGCGTATTCGGACTATGATGCCCGGTTTTACCCCAATTTCTCGAAACTGAGAGCAGGTATTGGGGTAACACTCAAATCGGAGCAATTAAGGATCGACGTTGTGTAGAAAAGAAACTTTATAAAAACTGGCGAAACGTGACGTGCGGATGAGAATACAGAGAGTGACTCGAGGATGGAAAAATAGGGCTATTTAAGGGTTTGAGGAAGATGAGCTTTGGGTTGTGACTATGTAGGAGAGTTGAGAGGAGAGTTGGAAGGCGAAGAGTCCAGTGTGACTAATGGTGAAAGTTGGTGACTAGTTGTGGATGCAGATAAGACTAAGGACTAAGACTAACAAGACTAAGAAAGAAAATATTTGAGAGTATAACAGGACGAATTGACGTTCTCACGAATTAAGCATCTGAAATATTTTAGGTTCACCTCCAATGTTCGAACTTGCGGAAGATGAAGTCGAAGTTGGAATGGGAATTCACGGAGAGGCTGGATACGAAAAAATGAAATTGAAGCCGTCAAGCGAAATAGTTTCGTTCATGTTGAAACGTGTGTGCAACGCCTTATCTTTGAAAAGTGGAGATTCGGTCGCAGCTATTGTCAACAATTTCGGAGCACTAAGCCAACTGGAACAAGGAATTGTTGTTCACGATATGGTCAAACAACTTCGTAAGTACTTATTTCGATATTTTCGGGTTCTCGTACACCTCTGGCTACTACAAATTCTCCACGATTTTACAGTTTTCCATAAAGCGAAACGACTTAACACCCATCCATTTTGCTTTTCCTTTTAAAGTTACCAGGTGAAAATTGAAAATTATTGTTTCTCGCAGATTAGTCAATTACAATTTTCTTTCATACATCTTCTTAATTACAGGAAGCATGAACGTGCAACCACTTCGTGTGTATTCGGGTCTATTGATGACATCGTTGAACAGTGCTGGAGTGCATATTACTCTTTTAAAATTACCTGAAAATTCCAAGGATGTATTTCTCAAATGTCTCGATGAACCTACCGATGCACCAAAGTGGCCAGGTTGCGTGTATAGTATACCTTCGGAAACTGCGCAAGCAGTAGTTCAACATACGCAAGTGCCAGTCGTAGAAAAAATTGGAACAGAGATGAATAAAGATTTGCAGAACTTATTGAAACAATGTTTAAAAAGTGCCTGTGAAGCTATAATTCAGAAGGAAGCACATCTGAACGACTTAGATAGAGGCTGTGGAGACGGTGACACGGGGTCAACGCTTAAAAGACTTGCTACTGGTATGTAAAACTGTACGCACTATATATTTATTTTATTAATAATTTTTTTCATATATTTCAATAAAATTGTTTCGATTACAATTTTCTTTCAACATGTTAAAACATTTAATTGTCAAGTTTTTAAACGCCTCACCCTGTAGATTTGTTTATCTACAAATTTGTGATTAAGAATATTTCATAGAGAATGTAATAAAATAATATATAACTACGCACGACCAATAGACTTTTTATTAAAGAAGTAATCATTTTGTTTCTTTTCTTTAATATAAAAAAATGAATCTTTCTTTGAAACAAAGAAGAAATTTGAATCTTTTTTTTA